AAGTATCCACGTTGAGCCAGAGCTCAGGGTATTAACTAGATTCTAAATAATGGGGATTTAGAGAAGGGGGAAAGAAACTTTTATTATGGACAGATTTCTTTTTTTTTTTCTTGCAGGGTGCCTAGTCTTTCCTCTAAAACAGCTGATGCTGACCACTCTCAGAGACATGCTCCCAGATGAGCTCGTTTGATCCACTATGCCTGGCAAGCCCCATGCTCTATCTATCCAGGTCATTGGTAACTTTTAGGTGCCTCAAGCCAGCTTCGGGGGACAGTGGTTGAGCAGCCCCCTAATTTTGCAGAGATCTGCACTTATCTCAGGAAGCCCCAGAGAGCTGGAAACAGGAGCTGAGCTGACCTGCTTAGCGGGCTACTGGTGTGTTTGCAAGACTCACTGCAGGTATTTATTTTCCCACTTTCGCCTTTATCTACTATAAGATCATTGTTTCTAGACGTAATACTCTCCTAAATGGATAAATTGGTTCTTATGTAGAGTCTCCAGCTAGTCCTGTTGTCTTTTACCTTTGGCTTGTTGTCTTTCGCCTATCTTGGATTACCGGGTATTCTCCGAGATGAAGAGCCATTAATTACCCATTCAGTCAATATTAGGAAGACTACAAAGCTTTTTACATAGGATTAAGAAGACATCAGATTGTTCCATTAGTATATTCCTCCTCACGAATAAGCTTTCGTTATACATTTAGTTTTCCCTGGAGCCAGTCTAACAACTGCTGCATATATTATTGTCAGGCGACGGCGGAAAAGACATATCAAAGGAACAATAAAGTAACTTTTCGTTTGCACTTTGCACGGGCTAGGGGAAGGCAAACGCGAATTGGGCGCAGGAGCTGCTGGAAGCGCGTAGCCACGGAAAGGGGAATCAATCAATGTAGCCTCAGTGGTGTTCATTAAGGACCTGAAAATCTCTCTCCCTTCCAGGCTCCCCCCATTCATTGTGCAGCTGGCAGGCCCTTCTCCACTCCCGGGCCATGCCAAGCACTACCTCAGCTCTCTCACAATCCTTTCCACGCCAGTTCTCTTGTCTCTCATGTTACTCAGGCCAGTCTCCTCCAAGCTGCTCCTAGAAAGACTAAATCCTGGTCCTCTCCTGGGCAACTGCAGTACAGCAGAGCAGCATCTCCTCCTGGCACTCCCTCTAAGCCGGGGTGCCATTTCTGAGGCCAGTGGCACATTATAGTGCCAGGGCAGTGCCCCTGAAACTTGTAGCAGGAGAAAGAGCTTTTCTATTAGGCTGAGAGCTAGGCACAAGTCGCCCTTCACACGCTTGCGGTGGGTTAACTCCTGCTGTTGGGGTCCCACAAGCAACTCTGATGAACGGAGGTTCCTATATACCTCCTCTATACCTGTATACGTGGGCTGAAAATAAACGAGAAACAGCACCTCCTCTGAGCCTTTAATTTTGCTAGGAAATATGGAAATAGAGGGGGACGCCTAGATTTTTTTAAAGCTATGGCATATTCCGCCAAAAGAAAGATTTAAAAAAATTATTATAATTGAAATGATCAATTTGTGATGCTGGGAGGGATGAAATACTCCAATACACCATTTTTAGCAATTGCATGTTAGGAGCCTGCAGTTTCAGTAGTTATTGATCACCTAACAGGATTTCTTACAGGGAATTTACAGAAGTAATGAATAATATTTAAAAGATATAAAGCATCCTGAGCCAAAGCGTTCAGGACGCTGTATGGACATAAAAGCGAAATAATAAAGTCTTTTAAAAGAGTAGTTATAAAAGACAATAATTTGTACGTGTACTTTAGTTTTAGGAATTTTTTTTTAGCTTTATCAGCCAGAAATATTTTTCGTCAATTCATTTTATAGCTAAAGATAAGATCAAAATATTTCCATTTCATATTTCATAGCAGTGATTTTTCATATCGCTATGTCCGAAGTCCCTTTTCTTTTAAAGTAATCTTTACATTGTGTTCTGCGAAAAAGGTTATGTGCTCACTGGTGTGAACCCAAAAAATCATTGATTTTCTGTAGGCTGTAAACGAATATGGTTTTTCTCTCCTTTTATATAACTGCCTGTTAACCCAACAGTTATATGGACCCCAAAGGGAACTATAGCAGGCTATGGTCCTTAAAAAATCGTTTCCTGCGTCTGTCACCTCCCTTCCTATTACAGCAGTTTGAAAAAAAAAGGATGACCGGAGGACAAGACTTATTAGAAGTAAATAACATGAAATATGAAGTCGTTGTATTTTCTTCCAAACACTCAATACAACAACAGCAAGGACAATGTGCTGTAACACGAAATAAAGCCAGGGAGCGATTTTCTTATTTTTAGTGACTCTCCACTTACAACTGAGGACATTTCTAGAGTCATAATTATCCATTAAATATAAATTCACGCTCTGCATTCGTAGATGGCGCTACTTATAGCAAGGCCCACTAAACAGGAGCTTTTAAATATTCTCCAAAAAATACGGCAACGTAGTCACGTTTTTCAGCATTACTTTAGATCAGAGTCATTTTTTACTTAATGGTATTAAACATGTTTAGATAGCCACTTCCCCTTCAATCCGAAGGCTAGAAAAATAGACGTATTGATATTGTACTAGGCAGGAAATTTTGTGTGTAGTATAATAATCCCGTTTCATAATTAATGGCTAAGAAAATAGCCATTTGTTTCTCAGCAAAGGAAGCCTACGTTACCGTCACAGAGCATATGAGGATTTCTCTTTTCTAAATACTTAGCAGTATAGAAGTGGCTTGTAAGGACTCATAAATTTATTATATCAGAAAGGTCCCCACTTTCCCATTACATCGTGCTACATACAGTCTTTGATTAAGACCACCTGTTCATTGAGGGGGGAAAACCGGTGAAGGGTAAAAAGGCTTTTGTTGTTCTCAACCATATATAAAGCGATGTCATCCTGCAACTCCACGCTAGTTAGCAGTTATTACTTGTCGGGGAAAAAAAGGTGTCAAACATTGGTAAACCCTATCTGTGTTCAATTTAATATCAGGTATGTTTCCGGGATTAAAATGATTGGGTCGTAATACCTATACGTTTGGAGTTGTCTCTGATCGTGATTTTTTAACCAACTTGCGTCTAGTAATTTATTTTTATGAAGGAGCGATGAAAACTTCCAAAGGCAATGACACAAGAAAGAAGGAAGGAAGGAATAGGCCACCAAGCACCATTGCCACGACTGAATTCGCTGGACGTTATCTGAGAAATATGACGCTACTTAGCCAAATAGGGGTAATACCATATTCTTCCAAGTAAGTGTTTAACCACGGGACCGGGGATACTTACATTATCAATTCAGTCTAGTTTCCTGTATTATTAATTCAGCTTAATGTATTTTATTTAAACAAAATCACGTTTATCTTGGCTTAAACGGACTCTTGAAACACAGAGCGCTTTGTTTTCTTCTTTGTAATATGTTTGCATTGCTGTTTTTCTTGATTGCACATTGCATTCGCCTACGAGAGCCACTCAACTTGGGATCAGGAATGGCGAGATCCTGCCTTCAACGAAAGCTAAATGCTTTTAGGATGCCTATCCCCCACCCCTCCAGAGCAGACATTTCTAGATGTCAAGGGGGTAGGACTCGCCACACACGAGAGAGAATTTTGAGTAGCAGTTTTCAAGGAGAAGTTTACTTTTGGCGGGGAAGGGAGGGATAATGCCCAGATCTCTCGGAATAAAGCACACAAGCTAGACAGCAATGCAACTACAGCTGGACGGACCGCAGGGCTTAGCATTTCCAGGAGAGGACGGGTGATCGCTCGCATAATCGACAGATCCTGTGCCTTGAACTCAGGCAGACCCCCCACCCCCGGCCCCAGCCACCACCTCCCTTTTGCATTTCAGTCCCTTAGTCAAAAATGAAAGATAGCACTGCTCGCGGGTGCACAGCGAGCGGCGGCCGCCGGAGCTGGGCAAGGAATCGCTTGCATTTATCGCGCGACAGCTTTCCAACATCCCCCGTACACACACACACTACTGGTCTCTCTCTCTCTCTCTTTCACACACACACACACACACACACACACACACACACACACACTGGTCCCAGACACACACACACTGGTCACACACTCACACACATACACACACATACTAGTCCCATACTCACACATGCATATACACTGATCCCATCCACACACACTGGTCTCATACACACACACACACACACACACACACACATACTGGTCACACACACACATACACACACAGGTCCAATACACACACATTGACCTCACACACACACACACACACACACACACACACACACACACACAAAC